GATATTATCAGTGGTGGTGCTGCATAGGCAAATAAATATAGTCAATAAAAAAACAGACGAGGTGGTTGATTTAGCCTCAATTTATTGAAATGGATGCTCCTGAACGTTTTCGACCACAGGCCTTTCTCAAGTGAAATTCACCAGGGCCCTTAAATGCGATTCTCGAACATCAGAGTTCAGATATTCAAACGGATTATAAAAGTACTACTTTACTTTGCCCTGATGCTACGTACAAGCTTTTCAACGTGTCTAGAATAGATTTCCAAAGGCGCGTACTTCAGTAGCTCTAACTTTCGAAGTTTTTGCGCGCGCGAATTTATAAAACAGCCAAACGCAAAAGTCGTTGTACTTGTGCAAAAGAACGTACAGTATAATTTGGGAGTTTTTTGTAAATATTATAGACTACAATTAAGCTGTGTGCAGGCTTTTCTAAATTTAAAATCAGCTCTACCGTACTGTACTTCCGAAATTCATAGCATGGGAAATATTTTTGATAGAAATCGAAATTCACCAGAGCCGACTCTCGAACATCAGAGTTCAGATATTCAAACAGATTATAAAAGTGTGGTCAATCCCAACTCTATTGACAAGCGTCAATTGATGAGAGCGATTAGTTCATTAAAGAATGAAATTCCAAAAGGAAATGCAGCTTTCGTAGAGGAAGTTCTTAAAGATTTAGTGGTGGTTTCTTTTCAAAAAGACGCTCTTACTACGCGGTTGCTGGCGTTATCTTGGACGTCGGGATTGATGTGCGCGGCTGCACACGGGCAAAAGAACATCATGGAGTTGTACTTGAAATACGGGGAAGAATTGAATTTAACGCAGAATGGAGAACAACTGGACCTTTCTAAGAAATCAGAAAAATACTTAACTATTGGTTCTCTTCCCTGTGGCCGTTCTAGCTTTGAAAATCTTGCGTCAACATGTAGTACTTGCACGATGCGTCTTAACCTTAGAAACAGGACAGAAGGAAATCATATACAAGGCGTAACTCCGTTGCATATCACGGTAGACGCTGACAACATGGTGTGTTCGAAACTTTTGATTGAGTACGGGGCTGACGTAAATGCACCAGACGACAAGGGGATGTTACCAATATTCCAAGCCGCCAGAAAGGAGAACGGACGGATGTTCAGGTTTCTGCTGAACGCTGGTAGTGATCTGAATGCCAAATCAAACGATAAAAGAACTATACTCCACCATGCAGTCAACACACACATTCATAGATCAGACTTTGCAACAAAGCAATATATTTTAAAGATGGTGTTTAAATCTCGTCGAGGAAGACGTTTAAACATCAACGGCGCCGATTTGTCAGGCGATACACCACTCCATATTGCTGCGCGAAACTCGAACCCATCAGCAGTCCGTTTCCTGATTGGTAAAGGCGCTCGCGCAGACATACCGAACAAACAGAATCAAACACCTTTTCAATTGTTTATAGCCTACATGGGTTATCTCTGTTATAACAGGATACTTATAATTTGTGAACTTTTGAAAACTATGAATCGAGTTAATTTGGTTTTTAACCATCATGATTGGATACCAAGAATTCTTCGACCGACCAATCAGAGGAGGACTGAACGGGTATTATTCTCTGTATTAAATCAATTTATCAACCAACCATTTTCTCTGCAATTACTATGCAAACGTGTCATAAAGCAAAATAAAAAGGTCGCAAATTGGATTGTAGCTTGTAACATGTCAATCTCGTGGCTAGGAATCACATTCGGAGATTATGATGACGACAGTCCAGAGGGCGCTATCAAACAGTCATTTCCGGACAATCCACACTGGAGTTAAGAAACGTACAACACAATGAAAACAAATGAGCAAAACATATTTTTATCAATTATTGATTTATTTTTGTTTAATCTCCAAACCGAAAAATATATCAATAAAAAGTCACTAATTCTACTATTTGTTTTGTTTAAAGTATATATTAGGTGCAGATAGATCAGTTGGTTTATAGCTATGAGTATGATCCCATTGCATCAGTATTTTTTCAATAAGAAACCACTAATAATATAACCTTAATAAATAATTACTTTCTTTTACCCCCCAAAGAGTTCTTAGAATTCAGTTATTGACCATAAGTTGATTGATTTTTATCACCACTTACTGATCCAACTTTTTTTCCAAATCCAATTATAGCTTCCTGTTATTTTTCACCATCTGTTGCGAAGACTGTTTACAAATATTCTTTTAGAATATCTCTATTTTCAGTGGTGTTAACAGCTGTAAAGGCGACAATTAAATAAGGGTGTACATACAGGTGTTATCAATCATGCGTTGGGTACGGACGGTTCTATTATTTTTAGGGGTGTTTTGGTTGAAGGAGTAATGGCAATAGTCGGTTTTCACAAAATACACCATAATAATTACTGCCTTATATATACAGCACACTACCATGAACTTATCAAAAGTGCTTCAAAATCAGAATGTACTGTAATTGCATAAACTGAATTGTGTTATGTGCAGATGCATTAAACCTACATCATTAAGTCTGCTCTGGAGGATGCTGTAAGTTTAAAAATCAGCATATTGCTCAGAAGCCATAATACAAAACTCAAAATGCATTTGATTAATTTTGAGCAAGACCATTTTTTTTAAATGTGTGGCATTATAAATACAGTAGCTTATTGTGTATCAGAGTGGCACATACACAAACTTCCCTTGTGTATTTGTAACCTTGTAAATGGGCTGAAATTTCTGCACTACCTTGGCAACCTTTCCACCCATGTGACCACATGGCAGCCATACTTATTCAATGATATAAACAATTTGGGTTCCAATTGATTTACTGGATCCATTGTCCGTTAGGGTAACAAGCTTGTTGTCTACATCAATGTTAAATATTGCGGACGCTGGAACAGTTGTCCTGCCTGCCGTTGGGCTATCAAAGCGTGGCAGGGTACGTGGGCCTAGCTCTGGGTCATTGTAGGAATACAGAGCAACTTTCTTGGGATCTGTAACAAAAAGAATACAATAATTACACCAAATCAATTACATTTTATGAATGTGATTCATAAACTTTACCATAGATGTGGCAAAATTTGAAAAAATATTATTAATTCCTAAAATATCTTGGCCTTACTTTTTATATTTCGTTCCTGTTTGCACATCCGACGAGCAATCTTGGCTGGGGTGTCCTGTTGCATGATGGGTAAAGAGAAGGAAAAGAAGCCGCTAGTTGGTTGGGGATTCACCATCACCATGGATACCGAGGGCTGTCAAAAGCAGGAAGTTGTAAATGAACCACATAAATGCACTTGTGAAATCTTGCATGTTTAGGCTTTCATATCAAATGAATGTACAGGACTTGTCAATTTAAAGATGGATATATGTAATTTTTTTTCCTACACAACAGTATGATAATGAGGCTAAAGCCCTTTCCAGGTTATCAAATTTTATTCGACCAAAAAATTGTTGTATGTGCCTGTGTGTTCTTGATGTGATGTCATCATGACCATATTTAGGCATGATTTTGCCAAATAAAGCTCTGCAGACTATCAAATTTTCTGTGACCAAAAAAAATGATGTATGCCCATATTTAGTCATAATGTGCCTATATATGGTCATGTGATGTCAAACGATCTATATACCCGTTGCCACGTTTTGTTTGATCGCTGCATTCACATCGTGCATGAATCATGGTTATTCGGGTTAAGTGTGTATTCGTTCTATTGGTTCAAACCAACCAAGCTTGTTGCTGATTGGTCCAAGGAATAAAAAAAATGTACGATTTCATGATACAAATGGCTCTCAGATCCATCGTCCCGGATCCGGAGTCCGGCTTGGGAATCCTACAAAATTGAAGTGAACGGTCCTCTTCTTTACCACTGAACATATTTTTCATGATTTTTTGTCCGGGCACTGCACGCTTTAAGCTCAGTACACTCTGTTAATTATGTGTGACAAATAATATGTGGTATGCCCATGTTTGGGTGTAATATGACATCATAATGCCCGTATATGCTCATCACACAAATTTGTCACATAAAAATTTGACAGTCACAACACCAAATATCACTGACAGTGCAGTACAGTGCAAGCAAGGCTTACCTGAGTGTTGAAAGTGGAGTATGGTTTCCCTGGACAACACTCCTCTTTCACTTTTGCATCCCCTTCCTCTGAGAATTTCACCTGCAATCCTTCAAGCTATTAAAAATAAAAATAGAATAAATTTAGGAAACCACTGCTTTTTTTTTTTACTAACAAAGTACATAATCATCACTATCTCTATAACTGTACAACCACCATCACCACTAACCAATACCACAATCATCATCACCACCATCAACAGCAATACCACCAAAACTATCACAACCAACAGCATTACCACCAACACCTTTGCACCGTTACCATCAACACCATTAGCACCAACTTTAACGTTACACCATCACGAAAAAATCACAACCCCCACCATCACCAACACTAGCACCAAAACTGGTACAACCAAAGCCTTTAACACTACACATAAGACACTCACACATAATTTTTAAAATGTATGCAGTTAACCTACATCAAGAGTCTGTGTTAAGTACTCCAAATTTTGTTCCAAAACTTTCTTCTCATCAAAATCCAATTTTAAATCAAGGGCTCTCAATCCGTTTGCTGCAACGTTTTCCTGAAAATAATCACAATAAGAACCATACAAACTTATTTCCTTGTCGCAATGGTATATCTGGGGGGTGGGGGGATTAAACAGGGAATGTGTACCCCCAACAAAATAGCTTATTCTGCAAGCAAGCACTCATCCCCCACTCCTGCTTTGTGCACCTCATCCCCATCAGTAACCTACATTTAAGGGAATTGATTTTCATCCACATCCTCTGTTTGGTTTGGGAATGTTAGAAAGATTTCTTACCTTGCAGAGCTGCACAAATGGCATTACTTTCTTCATGTACTTCTTCAGAGTATCGATGTTCTTCAATTTGCCAATAATTTCTTTGTTCTCTGGGAATGCTCCACTGTTAGACTAAAACAGAAGCAAACATTTATTTATTTATAGTGATTATTATTATTATTATTATATTTCTATTATTATTATATATTATTATTATTATTATTATTATATATTATTATTATTGTTATATTTATATTATTATTATTATTATTATTATTGTTTTAACTATAGCGAACAATATCATATCACATCACATTTTGACTGTTCATTGCATACAGAATCAATCATACACAATGAGTAGCATCCACTGTTCTCTGGTTTTGGGGGGCAGGGATGGTTATTCATAGTCATAATTCAACACTACCAATTTCATACAAAACTAATTTTTAAGCAGCCAAGTACAAATTTTGAGTGAACACCAGACAAGACAAGCATAGGAAATCACAGTGATAATACCAACAATCTAAATTTGACTTCAATGAAGACTCAAACCCATGATCTGATGGTTATCTTACCTGGTACATTTCTTTCAGGTTGCTAAGTATAGTACTCTGCCAGGGTGGGAATGTCTTGGCAACATAAATGGTTCCATGAGTTGGCTTCTGAGGGGTTGGAGCTCCTTTCTGTAAGGGTAGAGGGAATCATTTAAAAAAATCTTCTTTCTTTTTTAAAATAGTTTATGAACAAATAAAGTAAACCATCAGTTTTAGACACAAATTCATAACTACAGCTGTGTCCAGATTAACAAATTTTCTTTGACAAAAAACTGTTGTATGCCCATATATAGTCATGATGTGTCTATATATGGTCATGATGTGCCCATATATAGTCATGATGTGCCCATATATAGTTATGATGTGCCTATATATGGTCATGATGTGATGTCATCATGAACCATGTCACATGCTTCCATCCTACCTTTTGTTTTGGGGGATTAGACAAGTTCTTGACCCTGAGACGGAAGTCATGAGCGCAGTCCATGAGGTATACAGAAGACCGAATCAAAACCTCATCCACATCTGTGATACTTGGCCAGCTTGCTTTCATGATCGACCCCTTCTTACCAATCAGCTGCCATATATGCTCACACAGGTGGGGGCAGATGGGGGACAGGATGAGGACTTGCATCTCAATGAATCGGAAAACGAGGTCGCGATGCATACCGTCCATGGCGAGTTCACGATACTGGTCTCTGTAGGCCTAAAAAAAAGGGTAATACTGTATCTCAAACTTAGATTAAATGCACAATAGAGTGAGTACAAACTGGCACAAAGTGCAACCTTCTCTGTTCCCAGTCCCTGTATTTATAAAATGTTAAATAGTAGATTGGTCTCCCTCCAATTAAAGACCACCGGGGGATTGTCTTTAGCAGCTTTGGTTTCAGGGGTCATTTAATTGGAGGGAGAACTGTAATATGTAAAATTGTCAAAATTCAAGCATTCCACCAATAATTTTGCATAAGCCAGTATGAAACAATATTGAAAAAAGTGAAAAGTCTTATATCTCATTTGCATAACTCTCACCTGGAATTCATAAAAGCCGGTTTTCAGCGCTTCTTTGAACAGCATCTTCTCATAATTCACATCAGTTATCTTAATTCCATGATTCATTTCCTGCATAAACACTCGGTCGTTGTAGCTGTCCATTGGTCCAGTACGTAGGCTCGATTTGACCTCAAGCATCTCCTTGACCCACTCCAGGAATGTGTAGAGACGGAGGATGCCAGCATCAGCCATGTTTTCCACAAAGTTAGCGTCCTCCACTGGTGTGTCACCGGAATCAGCTAGAGCCAGGCGCATACCTGTAACACAAAAACAGCATTTTCAAAATCACTTTTCCTTTTCACCATTACCCCCATATTTTAACTCATCATACATACATACATCATTTACCCTCTTAATCATCATCAAACATCATCAACTATCCATCATCATTATTCATTATCATCACATATCAACACACATTTTACAAATTTTATATAGCATTATATTTTACGTTTCCACTTTCATGTTATCAGCCCATGGTTTCATCTTGGACATTTTTTCATCAAAATATCCCAAAATATTAAATAACATTAAGTTACAATTATAAAGTGCCTTCATACATAGCTAGTCTCTCAGCACTATGATAAATTTAAATGAATAATAATATAGGCAAGTTTTGATAAGGGCAAAAACAAAGTTTGAATTCTAATAATATTGTTAGCGTACCATCAGCAGAGTACTTTTCAACTGCTTGCTTCAGAGTAAGGAAGTTACCGGTAGATTTTGACATCTTCTCGTTGTTCAACAAGAGATGACCATTGGTTCGGATCGACCTTGGCCACCTCCCAGGCTCATCAGACCAGATTGCACAGTGGTTGTACAGGAAGTAGGTCAAATGGTTTGGAACAAGATCCTTGCCGGACACTCGTAGATCAACCGGGTACCAATATCGGAACTCTTGCCTTAATTTATTAAGAGATTTTTTCGATATGCCTGTGTTTGAAGGGAGTTTTGCATTTGGAAAAAATATGTAATCCCATACACTTGGAGTCATATCCTCTGGTCTATTAGAAAGAAGAAATTTTTATGACTTTGTAATGATTTTATGACTAAAAAGAAAATATATCAAAATAGAAATTTCATTACCAATTAAGAGATTCATATAAATAAAAACTCTTATATTCATTACATTGGCTAATAATTTATTTAAATTTTAATGAAAAATGTTTGCTCATGTGTAAAAATAAATTTGTTTGATGCATGACTTATTGGAAGTCGATAATCAATGGGTAAATTGTAGAATGTAAATGATTTGTAATGACATTCAACTCTCATTTTAATTTTCATTCAGAGTTGGTAGGGATGGGTAGGATGACTGATCTGTATCAAATGGTTGGGGAGCGGGTAGGGGAGGAATGAATATGCCTTACTTTATACCAAGAGGTCCAATAGTCTGCCCATTAATGACCCCTCCTTGCAGGAGGTGTGCGACCGTGTAGTACGCCATGTAGATTGTGGAATCAGAAAGAGATTCTATGAGGTATTGTTCATCCCAAGGCACTCTGGAACCTACAAGAAGAAATCATATAGTTGATAATGCATAATGAAGAGACCTAGAAATAATATACAGAATTTATGCGAGTACTTAAATCTGGGAGTTACAAAAAGCAGAAATGTAGTGTAACTTTTGAAGTATGATTGAAAATCAAAAATCTGAAACTAAAGTGCTGTCCACGCTATAAAATTTATGGGACAAATACTTATGAATCTACCTATATATGGGCGTGAAATGACATCATCATGCCTATATATGGGAATATTGCAGTTATTATTATTATTAGTAAGGCCTAATTTCTTCACTATATGGTTCACTCTCAATAGATATAGAATGAAAACAAAATTTTAAAATTTAAGGAGATGGATTAGATAGATATACAGTTGATCCAAATGGAAAGATTAAAGGTGACAGTTTACCCAGGCCATAGCTTCTAGAACAGGCATGTTCCCTTAGCCAGTCTAAGGTAGCAAGAAAGTTTCGCCGAGTCTCTTCACAATAACTGCAAGTATAAAGAAACAAAACAGTATCACATTTATATTTATATATTGGTATAATCCAAATTTTGATTTAAAAAATATTTTTCTTCTAGATTCTGTTGCCATAAAATAATAACATAGACTTTGCTGGATTCATTAATATTCCTTCATTTATGGTTTATGTTCAGTCTAGTCTTATCCATCTTGTAAGTCGCGGGTTCGTACTCACGGTTGGTGTGGAGTTAAAATAAAACAAAATAAAAATACAATGGTACTACATAAACTTTGGCCGATGTAATGTCTGCAAATGCGGGAAAAAAAATGTATTACGTGTTGACGTTATCCAGAGCCTTGGTTGTCAGCGCCTTCCACTTCTCTTCGCCATAATCCAGGAACCACTGATCACACAGCGCCACCACACATGGGTCACCTGACCTGGATGTGACCCGCTTCTCGGGTTCCATGTACTTGCATGCTTCTTTGCTGTCGTACATCTTCTTCTGCACCAACTTCTTTACATCCTGGACCTTTTGACCCTTGAACTCATCAACAAGCATCACCTGAACAGAAAACAAAAAAAATTAAACAATAACAATGGGAAATTAAATTTAAATTTGAACTAAAGCAGTCAATCCATACATACATACCTCTGCGCTGGGCCTGAATACATAAAATACAGAGGCCATGCATGATTGGCAATTCCATTATTTTCTTCTCTGTGCCAATATCCAGGCTGTTTATGATGGAACATTCCATTATTTTCTTTTATGTTCTGGGTAGAAAATTTAATTTCTGTGACTTTGAACTTGCCTCGAGACCTTTTCTTCGCAAAATTTTATCATCTCTTTCTTCGAATATTATGTACCACTAAATTTCATTATGATCCATTCATTAGATTTGGCAGACAGACAACACGACAGACAGACAGATAGTTGTGGATACATAACCTTCTTTGTGGGAGGTAATTAAAAATATATAGAAATACTTACGCCATCATAGAATCCTTTGAGATACACTTTCTCCTTCGCTTCTTGTAACTGTATCTTGTCATTCTGACTCTGAATCTTCATCTGTTCACACACGGTAACAGCAGACAGGTTGCCAAATGACGGTACATCAATGATTGGCACCGGTTCAAATGGCAGAACCATCTCATCTTTTAAACCAAACTTCTCTCTGAATGCCTAAAATACAATATGATTGGTTAAATTTTTGACTTAGCACTTTGCTTGACCAATGACAGCCTTTGTATCTAATAATATTGTCTTGTTATGGGTATTTGTCAATAAACTGTTTTTTTTCTGGTGCTTCATCTGTTTTCAGCAGACTTTCTCCTCTGATACAGCAAAAGAGGGAGTATGTCAAAGAGGGCAGACATTTTATTGATAGTACTTACTGGTTTCTTCTTCAAATCTCTGAGGGCAGCAAAGTCGTCTGGAGAGTCAGATGGCACACTGGTCACTACACCAGACCCTTTGTCCTCCTTGATGGTCAGCATAGGTAAGGTATATATCACCTTATATGAGGTCAGTGGAGCACTAAGTGCCATTCCCATTATATCCTGTAGACAATCAAATTAGATGTATAACTTCACAAAAATAATCAAAATCATGATTGGTTGAATATTTGATGCAGTATTCCCCTGGACCAATCAGGGCCTTTATAGCAAATCATTAATGAGTACTGATGATTGACAGCATATTACGCTTTAAATTAATATAAAATGGAGATTTTTTTATTTTAATTATAATTGTTTATGGTAAGTTAATGCTGAGATGGCTTGATGAGCTTCAGTAGTGTGCTTAGAAGAACCTTATTTTTTTTGGACTTTTTCTACAGCTTTTAGGTTGATTTCTCATTTGGTATTTGGGTCACTGTGTCCACATGTTTAAGTGTTGCTGCCATATTGGTGCAGTAGCAGGCAACCAATCCCACAAGGTACCTATTTATACTCCTGGGTGGAGAGAAGCAATGCAGATAAATTACCTTGCTCAAGGACACAAGCGAAACGAGGGATTGAAACAGCGACCTCAAGTTTGGGAAATGGAAACTCAAATCGTTCCCGCTGCGCCAAACCGCTTGTAACACTATGTTTGACATACCTGTCCAGTGATTTCCGCAAGTACATCGACTTTTCCTTCCTCTTTAAAGAATCCTTGAAAGGACATGTTGCGGGCAGCTCTTTTCGTGCTGATGAAAACCTCACCGCTGCTTGTTTCGTACGCAATATACCTGATGTCCGGGTGAAGCCAACAGTTCGTCTGGCCGTACATGGTCTCCGGTCTTAAAGTAGCTGCTACCAGGAACACATCTTTATTGGAAAGTTGCCTACCACATAGTAAAAAAACAAACATCAAATGCATTAATTTATGGTACAATATAAACTGCACACTAACTCAGCAATGTGATTTGAGACAAAAACTTTCATTGGTCAAGGTGAGTACAATATCAAACCTCAAACATTTGATCAACCAATAAAAACACAGATTTATGAATTTATCAAACGTATTAGCAGAAACCCTTTCTAACTATTAATACAGAACTCATGATTTGAGACAAAAAGTTTCATTGGTCAAGGCGAGTACAATATCGAACCTCAAACATTTTACCAACCAATCAAAACACAGATTACTTACTTCAGTTTTTCAGGGTATGGCTTAAGAGCTTTCATCTTAATGAGGGTGTACTCCTGTGGTCCCACGCCTTCTCCTGTTTGGCGGTCATGGTCCATGCATGGCTGGCCGTCTTTAGGTGAATAGATGGTGTAACGTTTCCCAAACTTGATTTTGTTGCCCTGTTTTAGATGAATGAACTGCCACCGCACAAATGAATCGTAGAAAGGGTTCACATCAGTGGTGTAGAACGAACGGCGCCAATCAACCTAAATTGAAAATAAACATTCAAATAAATATGTTTACTAATTTAATTAATTTAATACTAAATAAAATCAACAAGAGTGAAATAAGGAAATTTCAGTTTTTGGTTCGGCTGTCACTATCGACCTGTGAATTCGCTGCTAGATTTAACTTACTGATGTCATCTTAAATACAGGCTACATCTATATCATTGTGTATCCATAAAAATAGAAATTACTACATTTAAACCTATGCTACAGTACAAACATTTTACAATAATATTTTTCCCCTTTAAGCATATACTACATATATTTCATTGTAGAATTATCAACAGGTTTTAATGATGTATAGTAGCTTAGGTTTATATATCTTTCACATATACATTATAAACAAGTTTTACTAACAGTACCTTTAAACATATATTAACTATTTGTTTATTTGTGGCACAGACAAGTCAAACCAGTCACTCATCGCAAATCGTGTTTCAGAGATAATAGCCATTAGCCATTAAAACATTTTTGAAATCTACTTTATTGCACTAAACTAATCTTCATATATCTATACATCATATGCTGTTAATTTCCCCATTTTCAATGTTAAAACAACAATTTTTAATAATTTGGTGATGGTTTCTGCCTGAGAAATGCCTGAAATCATAAACTTCGAGGGCCGATTTCTCAAACATTGTTGTTTAAACAGCTGTATGTTTAAAAGCTTGTAACTTTATAAGGAAATATCGCATTTAAATGATTCTTTTATTATTATATAGCTCTCATGTTTATCTTTAACCCTGCATCATTAAATAAAAATCAATTTTTGCGATGAGTGAATGATTTGGCTCGTCTTTACCACATTTGTTTTTCTTATGTACCTTTAAACCCATGCTGCGAAGGTCTTCCTTAGCTCTTGGTGGGAAGTACTCAAACCAATACATTGCATCTGCAAACTTGGGAATCTCATCATCCGGAATTCCCAGGGATTGCATGATTTCCCACTGGTAGTTGGCAGTGCCTTTCTTTGCAGCAAGTTTACTCTGGTAAGACATTAAAAACATTATTATTATCATTTATTCAAGTAAATATAACATGTTATTGTATATTTAAATGAAAATTTAAACTTAAAACATAAGCATTGCAACGTTTATCTCAATTGAAATATCAGCAATGGACTTTCAAAACACCACAAGATCAGTGTGGATAAAGACTAAACAAACAGTTTAAATCCAATAATTATTGACTTATCAGGGGAGAGATACATAATAATCAAAATTGTATACAATACCTTTTTTCCTTTTGCTTTATCCTTAATAATGGGTTCCTTATCAACGACAACCTCAACTTCTTCAGTCACTTCTGGGAACACTGGAGGGCATCCAAAATCCTCCATTTCTCTTGCTAATTTATCAGCACAAGCCTAATAATTAAATATTCCAAGTTCTCTATCGTTTATTAAAGAATATTTTTATTCTATGTTACTGTTGATAAAATACATATATAATTGTTGATAAAATACATATATAACTGTATACATATGTAATTGTTGACAAAATACATACATATTTCTTGATAAAATACATATATATTTCTTGATAAAATACATATATATTTCTTGATAAAATACATATATATTTCTTGATAAAATACATATATAATTCTTGATAAAATACATATATAATTCTTGATAAAATACATATATATTTCTTGATAAAATACATATATCATTCTTGATAAAATACATATATAATTCTTGATAAAATACATATGTAATTCTTGATA